CACACTGGTTTTTCTAGGTTAATATTGTTATCAGCTCAGTTTCAGTTGAATTGACTTTTTTTATTCCTATTAACAAGCAACAGCTGTTGCTTGACAACATTATTTTCCATGTTTCTGTTTCATGCTTCTGTGAAGTAAGACGCAAGTAGTATTTAGTCAATAAAATATCTAATACTTTAAACCAGGTGTCCTTAACATTTCTCCTGGGTGCCCTAATCCAACCACTTTTATAGGCCATCAGTAAATTGTAAGTCTCTAAAGCCGGGCTCTCCAGGCCAGTTCTGCAGGTTGTCTCGGTGTCTTTAAAGCAGCAACACCTGAAAGGCTGAAAGAAGCTGTTAAAACAATTCAGCCAGTAGCCAGCTGTTTTAACTTACATAGAAATGAGTTGGAATGAAATCCTGCTGATATATTATCCTTCCAGAAGCTGGACTGGACAGCCCTGCTCTTAAAGACATGGAACAATTTCATTCCAGCCAGTTAAGATGTAGAATAATTTAATCATGCAAGTTAGAGATCAATTAGGACAAAAATTCTGATGGGGAACAACTATGAAGTAATTACTGTTGATTTATACAGGTGATCTATATGACAAACACAATTTGGGCTCTCAGGGACCAGAGTTGCAGATGCCTGCTTGAAAATGAGAATAGTTATTGAAAATGAGCTCCTTGAAGATTTAAATTACATTTCTGGTTAGAAGACAGCACTTCTCTTTTTTTTTTTAGTATATGTTGTGTAATTTAAGTAAAAATCTAAAAACAAAAATCACTTCCAAAACTATTTTGAGTGGTTTTCCAAGTGGAATTTAACTAAATTGATTTTATGTCATTGATTTAAGGCCCTTGGAATCAGTTTATTCCCTCAAGAAAGGCTGGCGTGGAGAAAATGTTTTGTGATAAATCGTGTTGTCTGCAGCTTTTGGTGTGACTTTGTTTTCAATACAAAAGTGGTTATGCATAAAAATAGAGATAAATTACCGGTACTAACAGGATTAGATGAAACACACATGATGGTTTCTCTGGAGAATTTCATGTTTATCAATTATTAC